GTATGGCCGTAGACTCATCTGTCTTCTCAATATGTCTGCCTGTGATAAATTTTAAAACTAAGAATCAATTCCACAACCTGACTTTTTAAAAATTGTTGTCAGTGGGACCATCATTCTCTCACTTCTTTATTATTTTTTAAGAACAAATTTATTTCTACACACAACAATCTACATTCATTTCCAAAGAATTATGGTGTGTGAAAAATCCAGTTCCAAAAGGTTACATACTGTATAATTTTGTTCATATAACATTCTTTTTTTTTCTAGTATAATTAATGCACAGAGTTACATTGGTTTCAGGTGTACAATATAGTGATTAAACAATCTGTACAGTACTCAGTGTTCTTCACAATAAGTGTACGTTTAATTCTCTATCTATTTTACCCATCCCCCCAGTCACCAATTTGTTCTCTATATTTTCTCTAAGAATCTTGTTTTGTCTCTTTTTTCTTTGTTCATTTGTTTTGTTTCTTAAATTCCACGTATGAGGGAAATCATATGGTATTTGTCTTTCTCTGACTGATTTTTTCACTTATTTCCTTCTATCCCTGTTGTTGCAAATGACAAAATTTCATTGTTTTTTATGGCTGAGTAATAGTCCATTGTATATATGTACCATATCTTCTTTATCCATTCATCTATCAATGAGCACCTGGGCTGCTTCCATGTCTTGGCTATTATAAATTATATGTCAGTAGATATCTTGTTGTATTAGTATTTTCATATTCTTTGGGTAAATACTGAGTAAAAAATTACTGAATCATATGGTTATTCTACTTCCAGTTCTTGGAAGAACTTCATACTGTTTTCCACAGCAGCTGCCCTAGTTTGCATTCCCACCAACAGTGCACAAAGGGTTACTTTTTTTCCACACCAACACTTTTTTCTTTTTTCTTTTTTTTTTTTTTTTTACTTTTAGCCATTCTGACTAGTATGAAGTAATAGCTCATTGTGGTTTTGATTTGCATTTCTCTGATGATTAGTGATTTGGGGCATATTTTCACGTGTATGTTGACCATCTGTAGGTCTTTGGAGAAATGTCTGTTCATGTCTTCTGCCCATTTTTAATTAGATTATTTGGGGGTTTCTTTGGTGTTGAGTTGCATAAGCTCTTCACATATTTTGGATCTTAACCCCTTATCAGATATTTCATTTGCAAATATCTTTTTCTATGCAGTAGATTGTCTTTTTTGTTTTGTTGATGGTTTCCTTTGCTGTGCAGAAGCCTTTTATTTTGATGTGGTCCCAATAGTTTATTTTTACTTTTGTTTCCCTTACCTCAGGAAGCATATCTAGAAAAATGTTGCTATCACCAATATCAGAGAAATTACTGCCTATGCTCTCTTCTAGGATTTTTATGTTTTCAGGTCTCACATTCAGGTCTTTAGATTCACAACCTGAGAATGTGCTTGAGTAGACTCATTCGAGTTCAACAGTATTTTAACTAGAGTCCTTTACACCATTCTAATCCATTTTCTACACTTCACCTAAGAAATCACTCAAACATAAAATCATATTACAGAGTTTGTGGGAGTTAAAGATAATTCTTTAGAATTTTTACACAAAGCCTCCATGATTGGGCAACTGCTTATCCCTCCAATTTCAACTTGTGCTGCATTTCACATACTCACCCACATTATAACAACATGCCAAAATACTTGATTTGACATAAATTCACTATTTATTTATTCCATTATTTTCTGAAAGCCTACTATGAACCAAGCATTATGCTAGGCACTAGGGCTATAAATATGAGTAAATAATGGTCTGTCTTAAGAGGGAAATAAAAATGTAAATAAATACCATAAAGGATGATTAGTAAGGCAAGGATACAAACTGGTTTCTCTCTTCCTAAGGCACTTAAGGTGACAATATAAAAGATGACTCTCAAGTAAAATCTTGGAGGATGAGTTGGAATTTGTGATATACCAAGAAAGCTTATTTCAGGTAAACTAAAAAGACATATGAAGGCACAGAAATATGAAATGAAATCCCCTATTTGAAGAACTGTAAATAATCCATAGTGACCAGACCATAAGATTGAAGAGGGAATAAAAGGATGCAATGATGGGAAGGTGAGGTGAGATGATGAAAGACCTGTTGTGTCAGAGGAGTGTGGGCTTTGTCCTGGAATAGTATGATCAGATTTACTTTTTTAAATGGAATTGTTCCATTATAGTAATAATTTATTCAGTCAATAGGTGCCAAACAAAACTAGTGGGTGAAAGTTTGAAGAACAAAAGATATTTACATAGTCTATAAATATCTCTCCACATTGTACTCATGACAATGAGAAAAATGGTAACTTAGTGAAGAAACCTGATAGATAACACCTTAACTAATTGCTCAAAATGAGTATCATAGTAATGGGACAAATCAACATCTTGAGCCTCCTCATGTAATTCACTGAGAAGAACACAGCACCATCGCTTCTGTGGTATTCCTACCAAAATGCATATCCTGAATCTACTTACAAAGAAACAGATAAACCCAAACAGAAAATCATACTATAAAATCGCTGAAAAGATAAAAGAAAAAATAGAAAATTAAAGATTAGATGCACAGATTTGTGCATAATCCTGGACATTTTTTTCCATAAGAGGCATTATTGAAACAAATGGCAAAATCTGAATAAGGCCTGAAAATTAGATACTATTGTATCAATATTCAGTTTTATAATTTTTGTAATTATATTGTCATTACATAAGAGAACTATATTTTTTAAGGAAGTATACATTGAAGTACACATGGTTAAAGGGCATCACATATGCAATTTACTGTCAGATGATTCTGTAAAATCATATTAATACATGTTCATATAGGGGTACCTGGGTGGTTCAGTTGGTTAAGCATCTAACTTCTGCTCAGGTAATGATGTCACAGTTCATGAGTTAGAGCCCCACATCAGGCTTTGTGCTGACAGCTCGGACACTGGAGCCTGCTTCAGATTCCATTCTCCCTTTCTCTGTGTCCCTTCCTTGTGCATGCTCTGTCTGTCTGTCTCTCTCAAAAATAAATAAACATTAAAAATTTTTTAAAAAACATGTTCATATATAGAACATATTATTTATAGCAGCACAATTCACAATATGGAAAAGGTGGAAGATACTCAAGTGTCCATTGGTGGATGAATGGATAAACAAAATGTGGTATATACATACCATGGAATCTTAGCCTTAAAGGAGAAGGAAATTGTGACACACTTTACAATGTGGACAAACCTGGAAGACATTATGCTATGTGATATAAGCCAAGTACAAAAGAACAAATGTACTACTCCCCTTATATGAGGTTACTAGAGCAGTCAAATTCACAGAGACAGAAAATAGAATGGCGGTTGCCAGGTATCGGAGGAGGGAGGAATGAGGAGTTGTTGCTTAATGAATACAGAAGTTTAGTTTGAGAGGGTGAATAAGTTCTGGAGATGGATGAAGGTGATGGTATGCACACCAATGTGAATGTACTTAATGAAATTGAACTGTACACTTAAAAATGGTGAGTTTTGTGTTATATATATTTATAAAAACAATTAAAATTATATCTAGACAGCTGAGAAAGGAAATGTAGTAAAATGAACATTTACCTTCTAAAGATAAGAGTAAAGCATAGAAGCAGAGAGACCAATTAAAAAGCTGTTGTAATATGCACCTTAGTAGTGGAGACAGAGAAAATGGATACATCTGAGAATGACTTAAGTAGTATGCTTTGGACTCCTATGTCACACATCTACCTTCTGTTTAACCAAAATACAATGGATATGAGTAGATGCATGGGATATAGTAGATGCTATCTTTGCCTGAGCATTTGCCTAACACTCATTTGCCCTTCATAACTTGGCTCTGGCTCAAATGTGACTTTCTTTGAGAAGTCCTCCCTGACTCTATGCAGTCTTTCCCCTTTCTCCTCACCTCTTACCAATTCTTGAACTAAATTAGTACTTCTCCCTTCCATGCAAAAGATGTAAGAGGATCTATCTTTTGCATGGATATCACAATGTGTTAAAATAAATGGCTTATCTGTTTCTTCAATACGCTGAGTTCTCTGAGAGCAGAAACAGTTACTATGTTTATTAATCCACAGCATCTTTCAAAATATGTGCTCAATAATTGCTTGAATGGAATTAGTAAGTTATCAAACGCATACACTATTTTTCTTTATAATGCTTTATACTTGCCTTTCTTCCCATGCCCCCAGAGTTCATACCCTATTTCAATAGTCTTATAACTAGTCTTTCTACTTCAAGTCCGTAATTCCTCAGTAGTCTGTGCATTGATACCATATTAATGAAATTTCATATTTTGGAGTATCTACATAAAAAACTTCAGTATCTTTCCATTATCTAAATAAAATCCAAATTCACCAGTGAGAAATTAAGACCTTCCACACGATGCTCTCAGAATTTACCATGTTAATTTCAAATTCTACTTACATACCTACTTAATTTTATTCAACAACTATTTGAGAACCTACCTGCCCTTTGCAAGGCTTTGTGAAAGAAGGAAGTTTACTAAGTATGATATATGCTCATTCTCTTTGTGTTCATTTTTGGTCCCCTGTTTCCTTTTACTACTCCATTTCATCTTAGGGGAAAATAACCTTTGAAGAATATTCAATCATATTCATATTTAAGTAAGTAGTTCCATTTTAAGACAAAATGTAAGTAATATAATGAAGTTTAGAAAAGGTGGCAAGCTACCCAGCACAATGTCCGGCTCATAATAAAAGTTCAATAAATATTTAAACTGAATTCATTCTGTTTAAAAATTTAAAGTAGAAACTCAAATTTGAGACAAAGAAAATTATTGTTTTAAGCCTTTGGAAACCTGCTTGTTTTTGCTTCATTGTAGTGCAAATGTGAACATTGGAGTTTATTTAACTATTATTATTTGTAACATATTATTATTATTTGTAGTTTACCGTGTTGAAACACAAAGTCAAAACAAATTTAGGAATATTATATTACACATGTTTTCAAAATCCTTTCTATATTCTTTTTATAGGTTATATGTAAAGTCAGATGTGCCACTGAACTTGACAAACACAAGTAAGTTTCGTGAGTAGCAAGATCTAATTTTTTTTACAATAGACTTCTCAAGGTAGAAGGGTATAGTAGTTGAGGATGCTGTAGTGTTTTATAGGAAGTCCTGTGGTTAGATTAGCACATGGGAAGTGAATTGAGTAATCTGCATTTCTCCCCCTTGAGCCATTTTGCTACCTAACACCTGTTTTTGTTCTGCTACTGTCCTGCATTAGATGTTGGGTATAGTTTCATAGGGCCTCCACATACTACAGGTAGATTATGCTGTTTGAACAAGCGTGTATAGTATAGTTCCATGAAATAAGGAATGTTTCAGTACTGATTAACATCAAAAATGAGAGTGCTAAGCTAGAGAGTTAGGAGACTTGGGTTTCAAACCAATTCTCCCACTGACTCTTTGGCTATTTAACTCATTTAACCTCTCTATATTTTGGCTTCCTAAACTATCATAAATCCTCTGGGTATATGGATAATTTCAAGGTCCATTTTGGGTTTCAATTTACATATTGTTATTTTTATTACTTAATCTGAGAGAATATTAAGATCTATACTTCTCAAACCAGACTTTTTGTACTTTGAATGTACACTTAACAAAGATTACTTGTTACAGATTACACATTACCTTTAATTAACCTCTTTCAAACTAATTCCAAAGGCAGACAACATTTTATGATTCCCACTATTGAAAATGATCCAAAATAGAAGATGTTAGGATTTTGAATAAATTTCTGGTTTATATTAATTTGGATTATAAACGTATTTGAACTGGGATTACTTTCATATAGATAGCTGTTACAGCTACTTAATACAGATAGTCACGCCTTACATGAAGAATTTTTATGCAGTGGTCTAATTCTTAGGGGGATATAGTTGAGCAATCCCTTTTTTTTTTTAATGTTTATTTTTGAGAAGAGAGACAGAGCACAAGCAGGGGAGGGGCAGAGAGAGAGGGATACACAGAATCTGAAGCAGATTCGAGACTCTGTGCTGTCAACACAGAGCCCGATGCAGGACTCAAACTCATGAGCCGCGAGATTATGACCTGAGCTGAAATCAGACGCCTAACCCACTGAGCCCAGGCGCCCCAAGGATATAGTTGAGTATTTCATTTTCAGAGTTCCTCTGTATGCATAGTAAATATGCAACTTTATAAGAAGCTGAGATATTGAGGAAATGCTTGAAACTCTGCATCTACTGTCCCTATGCTCTTCTTTAGTCATGTTTGAAAGTGATGTTTGCTATAGATAATCAGAAGCTCATAAAAATTGAACATTATTTAAAACACATTTCCCTCAATCTCTTAAAATTAATATTAGTGATCAGGTTAAATTTAGATAGAGTATATTAATTTTCAAGGCAAATTATAAAAGCCTAGTAATCCCTAGAATGAAAAGGTCAATGAAAATATGTTTAGTAGTTATAAAAATGAAAAAGGCAGGATTACTTGACTTAATGTTAAAATGATCTTATATTATTCTTCCCAGTAGAAGCAGCTGAATTCAAGTCCACATGAGATTATTTTTAAATTAATGTTTTAAAACCTAATGCCATTTTTAAAAGGTTTATTTATTTCATAACAGCAAAGATATCTCAAGTAACTCTGATTGATTATTAAATTTGTATTTAAATTATAAAGATTTTATACTGAAAGAATTATTGTACCTAAAATAACACACTAATTCAGAATTAAATCTAATCTCTCATTAGAATATAGACATCTAATAAATTTATTTTTTTCTTTCAGAATTCTGTTGCATTTGGGCTTCATATTGGCAAGCCTTCTTTTTTTAGTGGTGAACTTGACTTGTGCAGTGCTAGTCCATGGAGATGTCCCAGAGAATCAATTGAAGTGGACTGTGTTTGTTCGAGCATTAATTAATGATAGTCTGTTTATTCTTTGTGCCATCTCTTTAGTTAGTTACATATGCAAAATTACAAAAATGTCATCAGCAAATGTCTACCTCGAATCAAAGGTAAGTGTATTTCTTAAATTTACACTTGAAAATATAACTTCAAATCCTCATCCTATGAACCATATTTTGATGGAAAGTTTATGTTTTTCTAAAGAGTATTCTGAATGTAAAGTACATTTTTGAGCTTGAAAGAATGGTCACAAGATATTAAGATGCATTCATAACTTGGCCCTTACTGAATAATAGTTTTTAAAAAAGTTTACATTGAGCGTACTGTATTTTTTGTGATTTATACCCTCTACATTGGAGGATAAATGAAATAAACCAGAATTTACATGAATGTATCACAAATGGTCTAATATGTAAAGCCTCACTAACAATTTAAGATTTCATCAGTAAGGGTGGCAGTATTGCCATTAAACAATTTACCAGATTAGGTTTGCACACATTTGGGTTAGCAATATTAAGATGCCTTACTTCTAAAGTAGTGTTTATTTGCATAAAGATTTAGGAAATGTTACTTCACCCCATAATATGAAGAGCTTATGATTTTGAGACAGCTAGTCATATAATTAAATTTATAAATGCCTTGCTCCTGCCTTTCCTTATACTTTTTGTTTGGATCAGCAAACAGAAGCCAAATGCTAATCTATTAACAAAGAACCATAGAAGTTTCTACCGTTGATTGTGTGGTTGAGCAGTAAATCAGCCATCACAGTATATGTTTGACACTGGGTTTGAGGGTATTGATGCGTGGGTTTGGGGGTATGGTTTACACATACACACAAGCTTGCTTTAATTTGCCGTCATTGCCTGTTTGCTGAAGATAAGCAAGATAGTGTCTTTAACAGTTCTCTGAAATATACTTAGATTTCTATATTGTTATTATCCTTCATATAATCTTAGTAAATTAAGGTGATTTTAATTCAATGTATCAACTTGTCCTTTAAATTTAGGTACAGACTTTAATTTTACTTTTTAAACATGTATCAGTAGAATGCACAATAAATATAGAAATTAAAATATATATGCAAAGAAAGAGAGAGACTTTCAAAAGTATTAATCTTACCTAGAAAACTCTTGTATTCAATTAAAGGTTTAATTGTATTCTAAAAAGTTAGTTCGGAAAATGTATATGTTTTAGCTAATTCTAGCTTCAGTTTAAGTGTTAAAAATAATATTGTCACTGTTACAGTATATAATCTTTTGGCATAGCAACAGCGTCTTCACTTAATGTGATAACATCACCATAACATTCAGACCTGTGCTTGTCTAGTGATAAAGCATAAATAGATGTGGTTGAATTTGCAGGGCTTTTTTTCTGGATATTTAGCAACTTTTAAAGTTTGATTTTACTTGCTTTGAAAGAGATGTTTCTCTGAATATAGTAAAGTTGCCAATCTGAGAAGAAAAGCTCATCTGATAACTTCTCCAGAATTATTTCAAACATCTTCCCCTATGATATAAAAGGTATTCATATTTTTAAATTATTATTTTAGAAATTTTACATGTAAAAGGCGCATGGATTCAGAATTCTCTAAGAACATTACAGAGGGACTTGCTTAAATACATACCTTTAAAGGTAAACGTAATAGAGCATTTGTATTACATTGTACTGTTACATAGTTCTTGGTCTTCCTAACTTGATTATAAACTTATTTATTCAAAGAGTACAACATCTTGCTTCCACATTCTCCTTGTAAAATCACTAGGCTCATTTTTATTTCTTGACTTCAGTAATAGCTGTTTCTTTTATTCAATCCACAAATACCAACTCAGCATCTGCCTCTTCTACTTTCAAACTGACCCTGTTTCCTACTATCCCTAACAGCATTTCCTTAAAGCTCAGACTTTGGTCTTCTGTTTTTCTTTTCATTCTTCCTTCCTTCTTCTAAATATTCATTGATAATGAGATCTTCCATAATGTGTTTCAACCAGATCTTACCTACCTTATTTCTCAATGGCACACAATATTCGTTCCTGTCTCTATATCCTTAGGCTGTTTCATTTTCCAGGAATGTCTCTCCCCTGCCCTCTCTCTATGCCCTGTTTGTCCTCATCTTACCAAACTTTGAAGGCATAACTGTAATGTTTCCCAATTTTATGAACTTGATTTGATTCTTTGCCCTTCACCTCCAAAATAAAATTTAGAAATAACTATCTGAATTCTCTTTAAAAATTTTTTAAAAATACTTTTAGCAGCTAGAACAATGCCATGTATTGGTTCTCTTTTTCAAAGTAGCAACTCTAACTAGGTTTTTAAATATTAGTTATTGTCAATTTGAATAGTTTATTTCTGTTCTTTCATTTTTTTATTTTCTTACACACTTAAGGTTTTTACTTTGTTCTTTGTCTATGTTCTCATATAGATACATGATTTATTATTTTGTAAACTAATAAGATATTTAGAGCAATATGTTTTCTCAAGTACTGCTTTGTCAACTTTTCATAATCTTGTTATATTATACCAACATTGTTATTTAACAAAGAAAATTTTCTATTTGAATTTAAGCCATGTCTCCCATATTACATATTTATATATCAATGTGAATTAGACATTATCTTTATATATAGGTCTTCCTTCAACTTACTTTGATGGAAAGTCTGAAATTCAGACATCTATCTTATTCAGGTCCCCTAAGCTATCAGTTTTACCCTCTGCTTAACTGTGTATGCGTTTCAACATAAACAATATATAATTTCTGTACTCCTGGTTCTTGAAATAAACTCTCAGCTGCTAAATTCAAAAGCTTAATTGCCCAAAAAATGACCTGAAGGATTTCTCATCTGTCCGTTTCCCATTCTACCTTTTATCCCAGCCCAATCCAGATGTTTTATACTCAGACTTCATTGTATCATGGATAGAATTGTCTGTTCTGACCTGTACTCTGACATCATGCTTTGGCCTATATCAAAAAAATATGTAAGAAACATTTATCTTAAGAGTCACTATTGTATAATGTTGAGGATATTGTCTACACAGTGTTTCCCAGAAAAGATCTTTTTCTCCAATTAAGTCCCAGGTAAAACAGTATAGATTAAATCCTTTTCTCTGGCCACTATGCGATTCAGAGGTAAATATGTGGTTCACCTCTATATCGGTCATAGATGATCTTATGATATCCACTTTTGGTTCTGGCTCTACCTCTACTTTTATTTCACTTTCTTATTCTCCCACCACCACCATACACACATTCTTGTATATTTTTTATTTTGTTTGTATCTCTGTAACTACTTCAAATTCTCTTTTGCAATGAGAGTAGTATAAATAAAAAATGGTATTAGATATACTTTTGGATATGTTTATATCTCTTTTTTTCAGATATATCAATTTTTAAGTAATTTGGAAAGACCTTACTGAGAGACAACGTATCATAGTGATTAAGAGGTAGAAACCTGATTGGGCACTTGGGTGGCTCAGTTGGTGGTACATCTGACTCTTGATTGCACCTCAGGTCATGATCCCAGGGTCCTGGGATCCAGCCCCATGGCTAGCCTCAAGTCAGTCTGTCTCCGCACTGAGTGTGGAGCCTGTTTAAGATTCTTTGCTTCTCCCTCTACCCCTCTCCCCTGCTCATACTCTTTCTCTCTCTTGAAAAAAAAAAAAAAAAAGCTGGAAACCTGAGATCAAAGAGATAAAACTATAAATCCCGTCTCTTTTACTGACCATGTGACATTGGACAAGTAATAGCATCTCTAGGTTTCATTCAGCTGATCTGTAAAATGTAAATAATGAGAATGTTGATCTTGTAGGTTGTTATGAAGAGTAGTACCTTCTAAGGTGGTTATAAGGATTAGATAAAATTTCATATAAAGTACTTAATATAATGCCTAGCACTTGGGAAGTGCTTATAAATGTTGGCTATTATGATTCTAATGTGTACTAAGGGATGGTACCATAGCTTCAGAAAGTTCTTGAATACCTGAAATAGTTGGCAAAATTTATCTGGAGAGGGGTCCTATACATGTAGTCAAATTCTCAAAAGGAACATTGATCTAAAAAAGAATAAGAATCATTGAAGAACTGAATTTCTCTTTTAAATATTTTAATTTTACTTGACTCCACCTTATTTATGTACCATTTCACACAGATTTTGATAAGGGTTGAAGTCTCTACTATGTTACATTTCATCTAGTATTTAACTAACTTTTCTTTAAAAATTTTAGAACAAATATTGTTGAAATTATGTAAAGGCACTTTTAATCAGGCATTTTTGTTCTGAGATCTGTAACTTCTATTACAATTTCAACTGTCTTTTATTTGCATACTATTGATAGACAGTACTATCTTTTAAGTTTTTATCCATTGCTAGCATTTCAAGTGTGTCTCATTAACTTAGACAAAATATAGAATTGTTTTGTTTGTTTTTTACAAACCATTTATATGATAAACAAATAGTTTGTATTTATTGACATGATTGCATGTTACTTTTGGTCTTTTTCTCCCATTATGTTTTTTAAATTGCTTTTTCCCTTGACTTCATTTGTATGATTTCTGTGTTATATTTTAACTTATTTACTTTTTCTCAGAATTACAACATAACTGTTAACATTAAAATGCATACTGATAAAATTATTTTTATTCTAATATTTCTTCCCATTTCAAAAAAATAAAAATATTTATAAGAATATAGAACATAATTGACAAAATAACTTATCCGCACAAAAAGATTTAAACCATTGTAGATGCTTAGTCCCTGTAATGACAGGTTGGGATTATTTGTATAAGAGAACACTCAAAGGCAGGGTGGGAATAAAAGTTAAGCTTTCAGGCTTCTATCTTTGGTCAGGAACATGCACAATTTTATATTTGATAAGAGTATAAAAGGAATAATTGTCTGATACTTAAGATCAGCTTGTCTCCTAGCCCAGTCTGCCATTTGCAAATAGTGCATTCTCTCTCTCCTGAATTCTTAACAGTTTTAATTATTATGTAAACCTTTCTGTCCAATGTTCACTCAACCTTTTATCCATATTAATTTAATGCAAATGGAAAACAGCATCAGCATCTTGCAGAGACACAGTAACATTCAATTAGACTGGTTTTTTTTTTTTCTTTT